GAGAGAAACCCTTGTGTGCTTGAACATTTTGAGAGAGAAAGGAAGCATTCTTGACCCTTGTGTGTGTCATTTAGCAAAGAAGGAGAAGATTCTAAGCAAGAGGAAGCAAAGGAGGTTGCTATTCTGTGGATTTGAAGCTTAGATCATCAATCTAGAGGTATGATTTCGGATTACTTTCTGTTTTGTGATAATAATGGGATCTAGGGTTTCTTATGGACATTTATGGGATGATTTGATGCCAAATAGTTCCCTTCTTGTGTTGAGGCTCTGGATCTGGATCCATAGAGGTCCAGAGAGCCTCATTCTTCAAGCTTTATGTATAGCAATGGAGTTTATGACCTTGGGTTGTAGTATTTGAGACAAAAACATCATTTATGGTCATATAGAGATTGTATGTGCATCAAGATAGTGACTTTACGTGCTAAATATGCTTGGAAGGACTGGATCTATGGGTTAATGGACTGGATCTGACCTTATGAGCAAGTTTGAGTCATTGCATGGCACGGACTCGCCGAGTCCGAAGAACAGACTCGGCGAGTAGTATGAATGTTGCCCGACCACACAGCGAGTGGTCTTGCCGAGTTGGGGAGGGTTGACTCAGTGAGTCAGGGGGAAGTCAGAGTGGACAGGTGGACTGAGTCAAGCTGGACTCGCCGAGTTGTTCTTGAGACTCGGCGAGTTGAGTCGTGGTGGCCCCACAACTCATGCCAGGTGGAACTCGTCGAGTTAGGAGGATACTCGACGTGTCAAGGGAGGATTTCAGGGAAATCAGTGTATACGCTCAGACTCGCCGAGTCGCTATTGTGCACTCGCCGAGTTCGGTCAAAGTTGACCGTTGACCTAAGTTGACTTGTTAAAGAGTAGTCAACCTTAGTTGGGAAAGTGTTAATTAGAGATGTATTGTGATTTAGGAGGACTTTAGCTCGGGGGATCGAGCACTAGTGATTTCAGGATTCACGACTTACCGAGATGCGAGGTGAGTCTTCTCACTATACTTTACCTTGAGTAGGTAACCAGAGTTATGTGATAGAGTGTTTGTATGCTATGTATGTTATGTGTTGTACTGCATTATTTCTATGTGATTTATGTTGTGCATGTTTACAGAGTTAGAACCTGAGGGTTCACAGAGTTTGGGTGCACGGACCCACAGAGTTATAGCCTCGAGTGGCTAATATGTGTTATATATGGTATTTTGGGGAACTCACTAAGCTTTGTGCTTACAGTGTTTGATGTTATTGTTTCAGGTACTAGTGACGACCGCGGGAAGGCGCCGGCTTGATCCGTACACACACACGGAGTTTATACATTTGTGATCTTGGGATTTTGTATTTACTTGAATTGGATAATTAATATGGTTGTTTTATGAATATTAAATGAATTATGTTTTACGAAAATTTGAAAATTTTGTTTTGAAATTTACGGTGTTACAATTTGGTATCAGAGCCTTGGTTTGAGGGATTCGGGTACACCTTCGGGAGTATTTGAACTCAAACTGAGGATTTGGAAAAATATTTTCAAAAGAAAATTTAACTTTTCTAAGAGTAAAAGATTTTTAGAGAAATTCAAGGAAGAAACGTGTGTACGATCAGTCAGCGCCCGAACGGTGATTTCCCAAAATACCCTTATATTATATGTTTATGGTGTATTCTCTTTGTTAGAGTAGGCTAGGTATTCTTATTAGGACTAGAGTGCCCTGATTTGTGATGCCTTAGCCTAGGGAGATGTGAGCTGCTATGAGATGCTTGAGAGCGAATAGGTAGCAGCGAGGAGCTTATGAGAGATCTGTTAGAGAGTGATAGAGTACTTGGAATTTGGGATCCGAAGAGGAGGATTTGGGGTGTGTACTGAGACGGTGTGGACAGTAGTATTGGGCCCGTACTACTGAAAGCACCGGGGCGGTGCACGGTCCAAATAAGAATCTTTGGAATACCAAGAATCAAGGAGGGATGGGTTGTCGAGTGTGAGTATGCTCGAGCGATTCTAATTTATCGTATGTTGTATTTCAGAGGTTGATCATGGTGAGGACACGTCATATGCGGAGGGTGTCGGGGCTAGTGATGAGGAGATCCGACAGATCATTCATGAGGAGGTGGCTGCGGTCATCAGAGCAGAGATACAGAGATGTTCGGGTCTATTAAGACCGTGCTGATTGAGACTTTCGACGAGCGTTATGCCGCTCTTTCTGAGGCTGCGGTTGCGGCGGCCACTGCAGCTGTTGCTGCTGCTAGGCCGCAGGGTGGTGACGCGTTGCTGTTCCGGGAGTTCAGAACACGAAACCACCGGAGTTTGATGGGACCCAGGACCCGGTGGCGGCCATGAGATGGATTTCTGACATAGAGGGGTGTTTCTTCACTTGCTCATCTCCTGAGCATCTGAGAGTACGGTTCGCGCTGAACCAGCTTCGCTTGGGAGCGAAGGACTGGTGGAAGTTTGTCACAACACATTTTTCGCCTGCTGAGCTTGCGGCAGTGACCTGGGAGAGGTTCACTGCCATGTTCCGAGATGAGTATGTTCCCCAGGTGGAGCGGGAGCGGTTGGCCCAGGAGTTTCTGACCCTCAAGCAGGGTACTGAGTCTGTTACAGTGATCACCAGGATGTTTCACGAGAGGGCGATGTTCTGCCCTGAGCACGTGTCCACTGAGCAGGCACGTATGAGTCGATATTTGAGTATTTTGAGATGGGACATTCGGGAGTTCGTGGCGAACTCCTCATACCGGACATTTTCCGAGCTTCAGGCAAATGCCCGAAAGAGGGAGATTGAGCTGGAGACCTAGGCTAGGGAGGAGGCTGAGTCTTAGGGAGGGATCGGCGACCGGTACATTCCAGCCGGCAGCCAAGCCCGCTGATCCCAAATCAGGGAGCCAGAAGGGCCGCACTTGTGGAAAGTGCGGCAAGGGTCATGATGGAGTGTGTAGAGCGGGATCTTGCTACAAATGTGGCAAGGAGGGGCATATGGCCAAGGACTGCCACAAGGGGTTTGCAGTATGTTTTCACTGCAACCAGACCGAACACCGGAAGGCGGAGTGTCCGCAGTTGCGGGGATCAACTCAGGGAGCACCTCAGGGATCTGCCCCTGCCGCCATCAGAGCTACTGGGAGTGGGCCAGTGAAGGCCGAGGCGCCGAGGGCACGTGGGAGAGCATTTCAGTTGACCGCGGAGGAGGTCCGCGCAGCGCCCGATGTCGTGGCTGGAATGTATTCTTTCGTGTATTTATTATAATGTTGAAATATTATGCTTATATTATGTTATGTGTAGGTACTTTTCTTGTGAATTATGTACCTGCCTTGGTATTATTTGACTCGGGTGCGAGTCGGTCCTTTGTATCTTTGGCTTTTAGTCAGCACATCAGTATTAGTCACGAGGCGCTGAGTCGGCCTCTAAGAGTTTCCATAGCTGACGAGAAGGCGATATATGCCACGGAGGTGATCTGTGGGTGCGTACTCGAGATTTTTGGTGTTGAGTTCACGATTGATTTGGTTCCTATTGCCATGGGGGATGTTTGTGTCATCGTGGGCATGGAATGGTTGAGCAAGTTCGGTGCGGTTATCGACTGCGAGCGACAGCTAGTGACCATACGAGACCCTAATGGGGGAGTTCTTACAGTGTACGGTGAGGGTACCCATTCTGGATCAGCATTTTGTTCGGCCGCTAGGGTGAGACAGTGTTTACAGCAGGGCTGTAAGGGTTTTGTGGCGTATGTGTCAGATACGTGGGTTGATTCCGGGAGGCCGAGGTCGGTGGAGGAGGTTCCTATAGTGCGTGAGTTTCCAGATGTTTTTCCGGAGGAGTTGCCGGGGGTGCCTCCCGTGAGGCAAGTAGAGTTCGGTATTGATTTGGTCCCGGGGGCCGCGCCTATTGCTAAGGTGCCTTATCGTCTTGCACCTCCAGAGATGCAAGAGCTATCCTCGCAGCTTCAGGAGCTGCTGGGAAAAGGGTTTATTCGGCCGAGTAGCTCGTCGTGGGGAGCGCCCATTCTATTTGTAAAGAAGAAGGATGGTTCACATCGGATGTGTATTGATTACCGAGAGTTGAACAAGCTGACAGTCAAGAACCGTTACCTGTTGCCGAGGATCGACGATTTGTTCGACCAGTTGCAGGGAGCATCTTAGTTCTCTAAGATCGATTTGAGGTCTGGATACCATCAGGTGAGGGTACGAGATGAGGACGTCCAAAAGACAGCGTTTAGGACGCGTTATGGGCATTATGAGTTTGTGGTGATGCCTTTTGGGCTCACCAATGCTCTGGCAGTGTTTATGGATCTGATGAACCAGGTATGCAGGCCGATGTTGGATCGGTCGATGATCATATTTATTGATGACATTTTGGTGTATTCGAGATCTAGGGAGCAACATGAGGAACATTTGAGGGAGATCCTTGGAGTTCTGAGATTGGAGAGGCTTTATGCCAAATTCTACAAGTGTGACTTCTGGTTGCGAGAGGTCCAGTTCCTTGGACATCTTGTTAACCAGGATGGGATATTGGTCGATCCGGCCAAAGTGGAGGCAGTTATGAGTTGGGAAGTGCCAAGGTCACCCTCCGAGATC